TTTTGACCCAATAGTGAGTGCCAAAGCAGTAATCGCCCGCCAAGCGCAGAGCACGCCCGCGCAGCGTTCAATTGAAATAATTGTAATTGTGTTGTTGTTGTTTGCTGTTGTTGTTTGTTTCGTTTGGCCAACTGCGCCGAATCCCGACGCAAGTCTTGTGAGCATTACTGCATGACTCAGGCGGAGAGGCAAATGCAAGTGCAAGTGTCTGTTTCCTGTGCCGCAGCCTGACTGATTCCCAAACTAATTACTAGTCACTAGTCATTTCTAACTTTTCTAACTGAGTCAGTCCACCCGACTTGTTCCGGTGCTTGGCATTTGTTGTGTACGTGCATCACCCTTCATTGTCAACCTGTTTTGCAACTGCCGCACTCGATTGGGGGCTGGCCGGCCTGTTTTCACAAGGGGCTCGAGTACTGCCCTCGTTCGCCTTGCAGTCATGAGCCAGGAATCTGGAACCACTACGAACATAGAAACTTGCAGTTCAACTCTCGAGCTTTTCATCAGAGACTGAAAGGCACGCATTACTTGTCCGGTGGACCCATGCACTTGGGGTTGACCACCACTTGACTTGGATGAAAACAAATTAGAGAAAGGCGAGCGTTGTTTACGCCGCCAATGCTTCAATTGTACCCCTGCTGTGACTTGTTAGTCCCTGGCGTTCTTCGATTCAACTTGGCCTCTGCCTTGTCCTAAGAGTTGGCCATGCTTGATTCAGCCTCAGGTGCATTGAAACAGGCGGTGAAGGAGACGAGTTTCGTTCGGAGCTGGCTGGGCCTTTGCATGTTCTCCGTGCGCTTCGGTCACGGTCGCTGTCTGTCTGCGCAGCAAATGACAAGTACTTCGAGCTTCTTCTCCCCACTGAAAGATGAGCTGGCATCCTGTTGACGCATTTGTCCCCACTTTGATCATCGTGCCCAGCGAAACGTAGCGAGACAACCTGTCTGCTGTCAAATTCAGCAGATGTCGGCAAATTGAAACGTTTCAGCACAGTCTGAAAAAGAACACAAGAAGCAATTGCGGGACGGCTGGAGGGAGGCGCAAGAAACAAGCCACAAAGAAAGGTTGAAAACGACCGGCAAGGGAAGGCATGCCGTCACGAGTTTAGCCACCTTTGTTTATTTGTTTGGCATAGGTGGCCAAAGCTAGCTAGCCCTGCTATTCTCCACCCTGTAGCCCTGTGGTGCAGGAGTAAAGCAGCAGTCCGTCTGTCGCAGAGTGGACTCCTCAGCATAAGGACATACAAGGACTCAATTTGTGCTGCTTGCGGCCCCCGCACAGTTTCCGTATTCTGGTTGAAAACAAAGAGACTCTGTCTCTGTGTGTGTGTGTGTGTGACTACCTTCAGACATGCCCTTCCGTCCGTTCGCATGAACATTCGGACTCGAAGGTGTACATTTCCCGCTTCGTGCTCTCTCTCCCTCCGTCTCGTCGAGCTTGTCCCCAGGCCGTCTGTCTTTCGTGCTAGTCCACTGCTGCTTGTGTTCGGGCTGACACTGCGATTCGTCCCGATTCCTTCCTTCTGAGATCTTCTGAGCACGCGGACGAACAAATGACAAAAGCTGCACCCCATATGGCCGCATCTCTTTTTGCTCGAGATGTGCAGTAATCGCAGCTGCAGTGAAACCGCCACTGTTCGAACAAGCGCTCACATGTCTCCGGTCCGTCTTCCTTGGGTGCACCAACAACTCACACTATATCACATTACGACATATATTCGCAAGCATGCCAGAGCTGCAGCAGTGCGGCCAAGTAGGCAATTGTGACCTGTTGCAGGTAGGCAACAGCTTCGCGAGCTACTAGCATCTTCAGAAGAAAAACCTCGCCTCTTCCCCTTCGTCGATGGGTCTCAAAGCTTGCAGGACCGCCCAACCCCGCAGACCAGGGCATGCAAAGCATGACTGTAACGCACCTTGGCCCATGTCACACTAGCGTCGCTGTCATGCCTAAAGCACGCAGATGATTGCTCGCTGCTTGGAGCTACTGGTAGATGCTTGATGACTCCTTTCATGCTCACTCGCAAAACTGCCCATTATCGTAGTGCCGAAGATCATCGGTTGTCATCTGTTGTGTGCCTCAGGCCTGCGCAATTGGGATGGCAGCTGTGGTTCCTCGCTTTGGCCAAGCCCCAGCGCACATGCTCCACCCTTACATGGCGCACACCTGGGACAAGTCTTTGCCTGCCATGCCGCACGGCAGAAGCCACGAAATACAAGGCCAGCCCCTCCACCGCAGCTGCTCCACATACGTCTGACGCTAGCAGCGGCTCCTGCTTGCAATTTCCAGAAGAACAGATTTTCGCAACACTGCACATCAGCTGGCCACAGTGGGTTTGAGACTGGGCTGGAGATGCAAAACCGGTGTCCGACATGTGCACGGAGGTGCCCTTGCCATGACATTTCCACCGAGATTCACGATGATTCACGGCAGGCGATCCAAGCCGCTTTTCCAGCGATGCTTCTTTATTCTGAGAGCCGGAGAAGCTTCTTCTCGTCGGGATTTCGTCAGCGCCTCTTCAATCTTCTCAGCGCCTCTCTACGTTCTGTGTGACCAGCAGCCCCAAGGCGCTTTTTTCATTGTGCCCAATAGCAGACCACGGGGGTCAGATCCCTCAAGGGCCCATGAAGCATGATTCACCATGATGCTGAACAAAGACAAATAGAGGCGTGATGATATTCAGACCCGCCAGTCTGCACAAGCAGAGTCGAGGCGCTTCAAGGCACTTGGGGACGCTTGAGCACCTGCACGAAACCTGCGCCTTAAAGCGCCTAGAGAGCACAATTCAGTCGAAGAAGTTGAGTTGCTGCTTTCCGAAAATAGGACAACATCTTTTTTTAAGCAGGGGCTGCAGTGCACATGCCCTGAAAATCCTGAAATTGCTCAGCAGAGTTATCTGCTTCCTTTTCCCTCTGCAGAAATTTCGGCACCGTTTTTACCTCCACATGCTTGAGCAGCGCCTTCATTTGATGCAAATCTAAATGTGCAACAGGACACTTGAAACTCCGATGGAAAAGGCGCTTGGCTGAGAAGGCGTGGCGAAGGCGGCAAAGGATGGCAAAGGCACTTGGCGAAGGCCTTACTTCTGACTGGGCCCTCGCCCGGATTAAGGTTGGAGCTGCCCGTCGGATGCAGTTGCGGCTGAATTCGCTTCACAGCTTTACTGCCCGACTTCTTAGCTTCTGATGTATAAAATGGTCCGGAGATAAATGTGAGACTTACCGGTCTTGTGATGCGTCAGTTTCTCTGGCCAGCCTGAGGTGGCTGATCCTCTGAGCTGCCTTTAGCTTTCAAAAGACATCAATAAACAAGGAATCCGAAACATCGAACAGACGTGAGGCTCAACCTCTGCTAGTTGGTGCGGAGGTGTTTCGTGGTGGGACCTGAATCCTTTCAGTCCGGTTACAAGCTCACTCCCACCATAACTAAACAAACACGTTGAGCACACCGCATATGTGACATGATTGAAGATACTGCACCACTGCCTGCTCTGAATTCTATATACAAGCAGGTGATTCGAACCATCCTCCACTGGCACAAGCACCTCGACTGCATTCCTGGGCAGCATCTGCTCCGAGCTAGGCAAAGACATGTACAAGCAGCAATCATGGGCCAATTTCAAAAAAGCCGCATCCGGAGCTGACCAACAAGGACACCCAAATCGTCTGCTGTGAATTCAGTGGGCAAGTCAGTCAGGACCGTTTGGAGCAATGCAAAAGCAACTTGGGTGACATCCCGAGCTTCTTGAATAAAATGGCCGCTTATGCCTGCAGTCTCCCACCATGGTGCTCCAGCCAAACCGGCAGATAGGTCCAATAGCTGTAGATCTGTGATTCCTCTGGCGAGCAATTTCACCGCAAGGCGAAAAGCCTCCCCGACATTGGGTAAATCTCCGAGCAAGTGAACCAAAGACTCCATTGCCGATGCTCCTTGTGATCCCAGCAGTGCCGGGCACAGTCTGTCATGGCCCTGCTGCTTTGCCATCTCGTAGCACGCTTTGCTGCAAAACTGCTCTCCACACTGGCAATCGATTCCACTCGTTGCGGTGCTTAAAGGGCACAGGCACTGCTGGCAAGCAAGCAATTCCATCTTGCTGTTTTGAAGCTGCAACAAAGCAGCCGGGGACTCTGCGAGCAGGCAGCAGCCGCTCTCGATGGGTGCCAAGGCCCTGTGCAAACAGTCCCAAGACCACCATGACTGCACATTCTGATCGCGCAGGGGAAAGCGGAGAGAGAGAGAGAGAGAGGGAGAGATAGCCCGCGGCCTCAGACCAACTCCTGGGCGCACTCGATGTCATCTAAAAGCTACAAGGCAACGAAAGCTGATGGGGCGGTGCCGAGGCCGGTGCCTTTGCAAGCAATGGCAGCGATCTCCAATGCCGAGTTCTCCTCGTGGAGGAATGCTTGGCGATGAAGCCTTCAGCTTTACAGAGAGCAGACTCCTGCAGCAAGTGCATTGTTTCCGTCTCGCATGTCTAGGACCAATCCCTATACAGGCGACATTGCCTTGGGAGGACCGCAAGCTTTTCACCCTCAGGCTAAACAAACTGTAAGATTTCCGGCGAGTGTTGCACGTGTTACTCCCATTCTCAGCCGGGCGACTGCAGAGCTGTGGGACAAGGCTTGCCGGAAGTCTCGCCGCTGAGATGCGACAGGTCGTGCATTCTCCCGGCCCCGAGTCACTCAAACATGCTACAGTTTATCCTCAGAATGGGACATTGATCTGCTCGAAAGCAAAGGTTGCTTGAACCAGATCGGCAACAGATCTTTGAATCGTGTGCAACCACAGGCCTGACAGCAGCATACTGTTGGGGCCGCGACATTCGACGAAGGCAGGTGTCTTCCCAGCCCCATTTGCAGACCCTTCTGGAGGTCCTTTGAACATGGACAGGCTTTGCTGAGCTCTAACTGTCAAGCTGGCTGTCCTCCAGAATGCTCAGGCGTTGCTGATACAACCTGGCTGTTTGGAACGACAAACCGATCAAAGTCGCACCCAATTCTGGGCTTCAAACTCGGACAAGAGCTCTAACTCCAGCATTTCCTGCTGAAGGATTGACCTTGCTGGTCAAGGGGGCCAAGGAACAGGTCACAGTCTACACGCAACAAACTAATGTGTAGGGGTCGCTCGCTTTTGCCTTGCTCCATCCTGAAGAATTGCCCGGCACGGGGCACCAAAATCAAAGTTATCTTTCGTCGAAGCGCGAACAACTCTCCCGACCTTTGGGAACAGGCTCCACGGCTTCATGCAAATGAGCGTCCTCCGAAGCAGTGCAATCTGACACAGGACTGCCGGTAGCACTACAAGTTGAAATTCAAGAAGTGCCGTCCTTTAGGGGCTGAGCGTGAGGCCAGTGCCTGCAATCACACTTGAATGCGCTTAAGTGAACTTGTTGCAGCAGTCCTGAACTTTTGCTCTTTGACGAAGATCGCGTGCAAGACCAAGCGAAGACTCGTGATTGATTGCACAGTGACTCCGGAGACGTTCTCAGGGTGAGCCCTCTGAAAGAGTTTCGTTGTCCGTTTGTTTTCTGCCTGTCTACCAAGGCACAGACCCCGAGCTGTGGCAAAGTACGGAGGACATGCCTCCATGGCCTTCGACCGTGCCGTGCACTTCTCTATTCCGCTGCCAACAAATTGAAGGTTGTGGCGAGCCGATTGTCGCGGGTGTCACTTTCACGCTACTACTTCTAACCGTGCATTCGGCAACCACTCAAAAACTTACCCACGCACCATGCATGAGACACCAACAAGCACGCAGACGCAAATCACGGGCGACCTCCGGCTGCGAGTTTCTCGGCAAGACCTCAGGAAGTTTTCAACGTGTCAAGACGTCTCAAGCAAATGCACAAGCACGAGAATGAACACCGTCCCTCCCGGGCAAGAACTGGTGCTCAAACAGTCACAGCTAGGGACGGGACGACCCTGTCCGAGTATCTGCACACTTGTGATAGCCGTCATAGCTCTCAGCCAAGCTGTCATCGTTTGCCGCACCTCAGTGCAAGCCAGCGGCAGCATGCGCCGGCCGGCGCCGGCTTCGAGTGGCTGAGCTCGTTGCAGCACGACAAATCCGGAAGGATGATGATCAATAAAAACAGCGATGCCTCCGTGACAAAAGCTGCAAGGCCAAACAAGCGGAGTCACAAGAGAAGAATTCAACATCGACTTTGCTAAGCAGGCCTTTGGGAGGGGGTCAAGACAAGCTCTGCAAACTTTTGCAGGGGTTTCTCCGAAGCTTTATTAGTGGTCGGCTGCACGGGACGAAAACATGTGTGTAGAAATTGTTCGATGGGCTAAGTTTAATGTAAGAAGAAACATCACCGGTATAGGTGAATTGATTGCACCGAAAGCTCCGAGGGAGCCTTCGTCTTGCTACCGCAGCTGAAGCAGGCTGCAGCCATGTTTTGAAGCCATGGGACACAATGCCACACGCCCCGGGGCAGAAACGCAGGCCAGCAAATGCTTTTGCACGCCTTCGCATATCCTGAAGCACATCATGTAGGTACGCAACACTAGACTCGACACACTCAGCTTTGTTTTGAGCTGCCCGTGTCAACTGCAAAGGGTCCCCGCCCTGGCCCTACCAGCCCTAGCAGGTTGAAGGCGCCATATCTCTAATGGCACGAGGGCACTGCACATGGCACCTAAGCACTGGCCGAATCTCTCGATTGATACTTCATCTTTTACATTTGTCACTCTGGCACATGACCTGCACCGAAGGCCGGATGAGCCAAATCAAGAATCCGGAGCTTCCCGCGAATCCAACACAAAGACACGAAGTCGGCATGACGCGCTTCTTCGGATTCTGTGTCGTTTTTTGCAGCATCGCATGTTTTTCCGAAGCCGTCTGCATGGCTTCCAGCATGTGGCCGTAGTCCAAAATAAAACCGTTTAGGCGGTTGCGGGTCTCACTCGGTACTGCAAGGAAAGGATTACAACCCGAAGCTTGATCTTGTTCAGGAGGTCGCAAAGCTTCAGGCAGAAGGTGCATGTGCGAGTGTGAGCGACTGTGTGAGGTCACAAGGATGCTGCTGGCGTTACTCGGCTGCTCGCCTTCTGCCCTGCCTCCGTCATGGCTGAAGGGCCACCCGTGAACATCAGCATCTGGTTGTGTCATTAGTGATGTCTGGAACTGCCGGGCATGATCCTAAGTTCATCCTTCAATTGCTTGTAGTTCGTGTCTGTGTATGATCTGAACGGTCACGTAGAGTGGATGGCGAGAGGGCCACCGCTGAGTCGTCCCTTTCCAAATCCGTGTCTCTGGGCAGCTATTGTGACAAAATGCTAGCCGCCAGCCGTGATGCTTTATATTGACCCTGCTAGTCACGACCACGGAGTGCGATGCCATTCCTCTGCTCAGTTTCATCCTAGATTAGTCCACGAATTGCACAACAAACACCAAAATCGATTCCACAACCTTGACTTGCACCTCAACCCCGAACCTTCAACGTTAGCGGCGCTGTCATGCGTGTCGCTACCCTACACCTAGCGAAACAACCGAACCTCGTGAGCCGCCTGTGACCTCCGACTCGACCCTCTTTCGAAAGCTGGCTCTCTTCCTTTCGTTGGGTTTTGGATTCACCCCCCTCCCGCCGGTGCCAGTGCGTGCTAGTGCTAGTGCTAGTGCTCACATGCCTGTTGTGGGGCAAAGCCTCGGTGTGACTGTCTGCACATAACCTTCTAACATCGTGCACCCATGCTGCGACAAATGCGTGACCCTCTTCGACCCTGTCACAGCAAACACTTGTCAAACAGAATCAAGACGAGCAAGGCGAGACCCTCGGCGAGGCTCTGTAAAGACGGGCCCCAGGTAGAGTTCTGACCATACAAATCGGTCTGCGCGAGCATTGTACGAACGTCGAGAGGAAACCGTGACGAGGTAATCACCGGGCATGCGATCGCTTAGGATTGCGGCTGTTCAGCTCTCAAAGTCGAGCTGTCTTTCCGTTTGGATTTGTGTGAAGAGCGGCGCTTTCGGGCCTTTCGGCATGTGTGGCAGCTCGGACCTGAACCAAGCTAGTCTCACGTGTTTTGCATGGTCTTACCTATCCAAACCCCATCGCATCCAAGACTCTCAAACTCGGCTTTTCTGCTTGTCGTCGCTCTGCAGTTGTGCTACACCGTCCGTCTGGTGTGCATCACCTACCTGTAGCAGCTTGTGTGCGCATTTCCAGGAGGGATTGCAGTCGCTTCTCCTGGCGAATGCCACGCCACTTCTCAAAGCTGCTCTGCTGATGTGCTGGCCTCCGGATCCAGGCCCGACTCAATTTGCCCGACAGGCGGCCGTGTCTGCCTCAACATACAGCGCACCCGAAACTGACGTCAGGCATTGGAAAAAGCGCAGACAGCGAGCGGATGCATGAATGCATGCACGTCTCAGAAATACCCGCAACAGCACCCGTACCTATGCCTTCGCGAAATGCACCCTGGCCCCGCGATTGCAAGGCCTCCTATTACAAGCGGACTTTGTTCCGGCTGAAGCCTGTAGCAAAGCCGCCATGACGATGAGATTGGCCGAGCTGGTGCACACGGTAGACAGTCTTGTGCTCAATGTTGCAGTTGACATCTTTGCCTACTGTGCGCTGCTGAAATAAGTGAACCTAACAAATCCTTCGGACCGATTTGCCAGGGGAATTCCCCGGAAGCGGTGCTTGGAGGGTGCTTGGAGGGAGGTCGAGAAGCTCGCCGTAGTTTGAAGGCACCGAGGCCAGGCCCATCCCACATCTTTCCCGCGCAAGCCCCCCCTCCCGCCCCCCCCCACCCAAACGAAAAAGCAAAGACAACGAGAAACAACAAGCTCCACCCCGCCATAAACGGGTGCAGGACAAGTGGCTGCCAACACTCATTCCGTGCACTTGTGTGCCGGGGGAGAGCAGCACGTAGTCGATTGGAGTATACTTGTCCCATCAGCCAATTCATGCATGCAGTATCGACAGAAGACAGCTCCCTGAACCTACTCAGCTCTCAACCCCTGCATCCGCCCACGACTCAAGCGACCCAGTACGCTGGGCGCGCAAAGAAGCGGATGAGGGTGGCAATTCGGAAATTCCTCCAGGTTCGTGTTCTTCATCACCCTTTCGTTTCATTTCACCGTCTCGACTCCTTGGGCCGCCCTTCATCTCACCGTTGCCGCGGCTCGGTTACTTGTTCACCACGCTTCACGCAAGTTTTCAGTGAAACATGTCGGCATGTGCCGCTTCATGTTCGGATGTGCTGTTGCTCGCATGTTATATAAGTCAAGTCCATCCGGCTAGACTGTAGTTGCAAGAAACGGACAGTGGGGCGGTGAGTTTATCTGTTGCCTTAATTTTACAGCCCGCCGCCAATACTCTGTCAGCTCACATGCAGTGCATGTTTCACTTGTTCTTTGCATACATGTTTCGCTGCAAATGTTCTGGCAGCACAAAAATCATGCCTGGCATATCTGGTGTGATTGCAAATGACCTGGGGTCAACCACAACCGATTGCTACCCTTCATTGGGGGGCTTGTGTGTGACCACTCCCGAATCGGCACTAGGGAGAACGAAATTTGCGTTATGTCGCGCAGCGGCAGATCTTGCATGAAACTTGCAGGGGCCCCGAGGGCTCATCATACAGCTCGGGCCAACGAATCTTTGTATGATGTAGCCAGGAAAACGTACCTGCAGACCAGTTCCTGGGTACTGTATGCGCAGCTGGATTGGTCTCAAGGTTCGATTGCATGAGTGGTTCATGTGAGTGATTGCAAGCCTGAGAGTTTTGATCGCCACCTAGATTAAAAGTTGTTCCTAATTGAGAGGGAAACGCCGTGAAACCATCCCAGGACGACATCAGGAACCCGCTACAACTGAGGTTGCGCGTCCTTCGACGACAAGTTGGGAAACCACATAACAACACTCCAGTGTGCGGACTTATGTCCAATAGGCGGAGGGCCCAGCGATGCACCGTCTTGATCCCTTCGGGATAATAGATGAGGTTTTCGTCCCGGTCAGCACTGTTGTGCAAAGTATCAGCAAAAGAAGCCCAAACAAAAGCAGCCAAAATTGGCCGAATACCTCAGTCACAAAGTACCCATATGTCCCAAGATCTCTGATGTTTTTTGTCATTCGTGTGTTTCTTGTCCTGTTCATTGTCTTGTCTCGCTTGTTGTTCTTTGTTCGTTGTTTCGGTTCTTTTGCTTGTCCTTGTTCCTGGTCTCGTCGCTCGGCTTGTTCTCGGTTTCTACTTACAGGTACGGGGACGGGAGGACGGACGAATGCCACCAATTCGGGGTTTTTCCCTCGGTTAGGCGTTCGGGCCGAAAGGATCTCGAGATTAACATTTCTGGCACTTCCTCCACTGCATGCCGGAGATTGCTTCTCGTCGGCAGAGCCTGTCACTATTACTTATTTTTTCATTCAATGATTGTCGGGTTTTGCCGTGCCTTGCTTGGTATGGGCCTTGTGGCGATTCGCGGCCTTTTAGGTTTTTTGTGCCCTTTCCATCGCAACTGCATTTGGGTATGATTTTCAATGTTCGGGCATCAACCTTGCGAGTATGCCGTGAGTTGCGGCCAACTTGGCTACACCGCGAGATCGTCGGTGAACACAAGCGCCTCTTAAGGGGTTTTGATGTTTTCGGATTTGGCCGCGACTTGGCTATTAACCTCGGTGCCTTGGTATGCGCCTTGGTGCCTTACTTACACTTGGTGCCTTGGGCTGTTCTTCGGTGCCTCTTGAGCTTGATGGGACATGGGCACTGCCTCCGGTGACTTTCAGCCTTAGTATGCACCCAACGGAACGTAGGGCCAGCCAAATGTTCAGACCCTCGGCTTTTCGCGACACCTCTCGGGTTGGTCGGATATGGGCAGGCATCCCGGTGCCTCGGTAGGTGCCTCGGTGTCTTCGGGTTCGATGTGGGCTCGGGTTTGAGAGTGACGCAAATGATTGATGCTGTGATAGTTCTCGCCGCTCCTACACAGGTACTCGTATGGACCTCGCAACGGTAGTCAGCGAAAAATGTAGCGAAGCAATACGTTGGCGATTTCATTCATTTTATCCGCCTCTTCGTTGGCGGTTGTGTGTGTGTGCGTGTGTGTGTGTGTGACAACCCTGTATCCAAGGGGCTTCTCTTCCTTATTTGCAGCGCACATTGATTTGCTAACAAACTCGCCAGCTTTCCATGGTGATGTTTTCCGGGACGCTGTAACATGTACCTGCAATTGATTGTCCTAGACATCCTGTAACGCAAGCTGTATATGGTGCGTCCTCGCTTTTGCTTCCAGTATTTGCAACATTCGCGGAACATGGACGACCGTATTGAGCCATTCACGCACTGCTGCCTGTCTTGCTCATGGGTGTCTGCATTAGGTTCAGGCCGCTTTGATTGGGGTTTAGCCAGGCGGAGCCAGGTTCGAGGCAGGGTTACTTTCTGCTGAACGGCT